ACTGACTTCCGTAAATAAATGCACGTCACCGTCATACACAGAATTTAGTACAATACTTCAGTGATTTATAGAAAAAAATGTAATTGATTATAATAACTTCTAAGTAAAATTTTTCACTCGTCATTTACTTTTCATATTTTATTATATAAATATAAGTGCAGATTTGCTTAATAAACTAAAATAAATTTGACCTTTAAGTAGTTTCACTGAATAGTACATTTTCCTGGCTGCCAAATATTTAAGATAAGTGTTTCATTATGATCCAGAACATTGCCAAAAATATTTAAAAACATTGGTTAATAAATATCCCAAACAAAGCAATATTTTAATTATCTTGGACAATTACTTAATATTAACGAAAATTAATAGATTCTATTTAAGGTTATTTACTGTATTAAATTTACATTATTTTGTTTAGTTTTAGTGCCTGATATATGTGTTGTAATGCAACCGAACATACAAGACTCTATTATTGTACAATTAGAAATATTCTGATAATCTGTCTAATATATAATATTAAAATTATAATTTGTATTAGGGATTGAAGGTTTTAAAAATGGCTTGGTGGAGGGAAAAATTGGCTTGATTTAATGATTGGATTCCCTTTTAATAACTGACATTACGTTGCTCTTGTATTTCTGTGATGAATATAATTGAAGGTAAAATTTGCGTAATATTCAACGTGAAAACTAAAAACTCGGTGGTCAGTCCTATGCACACACTAAAGCCCGTTCAGTGAATCAATAACTGAGGCAGTGCTTATTACTTACTATTTGCAATTAGATTTTTAATATATACTGTTGTAACTAAATAATAATATACTTAAGAGGACTTCATACTAGATGTCTTATCTTTGACTTATGGTTAAGTATTGAGATATAATTAATAAAGCAAGTTGTAAGCATTTTCAAATTTACAAAAAATTACATTCATAAAATGCTCATGGCCAGTGTTAGGAAATATTTAGACAAATTATCTAGATAGAATTGATTTATCTTTTATCTTATCTAGATAATTCTCAACTCGTTTATATTTATCTTCATCTAGATACAATTCTAGTTATCTATGAGTACCTATCTAGATAATTTATTTTTATGAGTTAAAAAAAAAAAATTAAAATTAAAAATATTATTTTTTTAATATGTAATTTTTGTTTGTTTTATTGACTCAAAGATTGATCTATTATTTTCTAATGAAGTTAGAATTATCTATTCTTAATACTGCTCATGGCTTTTTAAAAAAAATATTTAATTATCCTGTTCTACCCCCTGGATATTATTATTACCTTTAAATTTGTTAATAGTTTAATTAATTTTAATATTAAAAGTAACAGAAAAAATGTTGAATAAAAAATTTGTTATGTTAGAGTTAGTAACACGGAGACACAATATGTGAGATATAATTTATTTTTAATATAAGCGTGCATATTTACTTCTTTGCTTAATTCAATGTAATCTTTCATCTTTCCTAGCACAATTTAACACTGAACAGTAAATTTCCTTAACACACAATAATTTTAACTGTTGTAATAATAAAATTCTTTAAAAAAAAACAAAAAAAAAAAAAACATATAATTAACGATTATATTGATTACTATTTTAATTGTCAGTAGAATTGTAAACTGTAATCAAGTATATAAATTCTATTGCTTCTTTAACAACATATATAGTTCAAAATACTCTAAATAACTACTAATTTATATGGTATTTACTGTCATGAATTTTAATAAACTATAATCCAAGATTCTGTGATATTATATTCTATATTTTTATGACTTTATGTAATTTGGTTAGGTTAGGTTGCTTAAACAGTCAAAAGTCAAATTATATCGCTTATCTCTCTCTTTTAGGCAATTAGACACTAATTACTACTAGACAAGGTGTATAGAATTAAAAAACTATATTATTATATATATTATATAGGTACATAACTCTAAGTTTTCTATTTGTGTTTTAATATAAAGTTGCATTGAAAGAATCAGATTATTTAAAAAAAAATAATAGCAATACAATCACTGATTTTAAGTTAACTAGGTAATATAAACTATAAAGGCAAGATAATATTATTACATTTAATTTAACAATATTTTATTAAAAATTCACTAATCATCTCAATATAATACCATGTTTGTCATGAAGTACAAAAGTTATTTTATAATATATAATATTTTAAAATCTATTCACTTTTAGTTAATATAATTATTTTTTTAAATAAATTTAATTTTTTTCATATAATTTTAATATTTGTATTTATTTTTATGCACATATTCGAATTTTATTGTTATGTTAAGGGTATTAAAGTTTCCAAGCTCTGTATTTAATATATAATTATCCTTGAAAAATCTAAAGCGAAGGTTTATGTGAACCAGAAAGATATAAAACATTGTCATATGTATAGATATTTGAAGTATAATAAATAATAATCCTTGCACAAATATAAAATACGTGGTTAGGTTACTAGATAAATAATAGTAACTAATTTTTTTTTTTTAGACGTGGTGTTTTGTGATATTAAATTAAAAACAGATGATGGTACTGTAGGTAATATTTCGACGTCAAGTGGTTTTAGCATCAGTTAGTCCATATTTACATGCAATGATCAACAATTGTGTAATAAAGATTTCGTTATTATAAGACAATTGATTCTATCACCTTGCAACTCTTAGTAAAATTTATTTATTCCAGGAAAATTATGGTCACCGAAAAAAAATATACAGGTAATCCTAATAATAATAATAGATGAAGTTTGATTTTATTAAAGCCAATAACATTATTTAAATCTTTAGATGTTTATTTCTCAAAGTTTTTTAACCAGCTGCAATTCAGTTACATGAAGGAAAAGAGACATATTGTGATTTCTTACAGATTCAACTATGCTCTACAAATCATATTGGTATAAATTCGTTAGCTGATTTATATATCTATATAATTTTTAACAAGTTCAAATTCATATGTTCAACAATAATTTTTGTTTGAAATTGTATTTATTATTATGATTCTGTAAGAAAACTGTATTTATTATTATATTTTGAGTGATATTTATAAATACGAGTGTATAATATTATACACTTTTATAATAATTAAATATTAATGATATAATAAATGGTTTTAGAAAAAATAAAATTACCTACTGTAATATCGCTACTAATGGTAAAATAAATTAAGTACTTTAATAAAGGCTGACATAATGTATTATACAGTCTTTGGCTCTTTACACAGAACCGTTTTTTGTATGCAATGATATATCATTAAGTTTAAATTTAATAAAAACATTAAAGTGACTTACCCAAGCACAGCACAGTGGTTATTTACTTTCCCCGGTTTTTTTTGTTTGTGTTATTATGTTAATTAAAAGACTTGAAGTGTTCCACTTATACAAATACTAGTCCTTCAACGTGAAGAATGGACTGGTCGTGTGATATATATTTATAATTGAAAGACAGGATAAAAAAAAATGTAAGAATTTCATGGATTGGAAACACTTCTAAATTCATCGAAAATACCAAGGTATAGAATTTTCAGCTGTTACCATATGTTTGGTACCTAATACTATAGATGCTGGTAGTAAAAAATACCCAATATCGCAGATACTGGCATGTTACATACTCTACAAAATATATATGCAATTGAATACAATAGAACACATTACAAATGGTGTGGCGACATAATCAGTAATTAAGTAATTAGCAACACAAGCATGCTGAAGGGCGAAGAGTGTTATGCACTATTAAAGTATTGCCATACGTTTCTTCTCGGAAAAGTCGTTAATTCGATATTATTAGTATACGAACTTACCGGAATATCAAATTATGTTATGAGAATCCAAAATCTGCCTTGTACAGTGAAATCACCCTTGTGACGACCATCACTTCTAAAGATGATATCATAATATGTAAGGGAGACCGTCGCAAGAGTTTGGTAGACGGTTAGGAATATCCTAGACATTCAGAGGCAGGTCGTATACGTACAAGAAAAACGATATTATTATACCTCTTATATCATATAAATATCTGTGTTGATTCATGAATTGACGAGTCTGGATGTAACGAGTATTGAACTTTGAAATACCGTTCCAATTTCAGTCCATTATTAATATTTTATGCAAACAAATGGACTTGCCTACTCTTTTTAACGTTTTTTTCTTAAATGCCTATACTAGATTTTGTACTGAATATATTTTAGATGCAGACTCGAGTATCATTTATATTTTTACCTAAAGCTATCTATCAGATTATCCGTTTCGCTCTGTTAGTACTGCGCAACCAGTGACGTTACGGTTGACGTACAGGAGGTTGCTCTTGCAACACAAGAAAGTATCATAGAGTCGCAAGAGTATCTTTTTGCAACCCCAAAAATCACGATTTCAGTTTTCAAAAAATTGAAATATCAATATAATAATTAATTAATTAATTTCTTATCAAAATATGGAAGTCAAAAGTATCTATTTTTACTTTGAATTTATATAATTGTTTAGTTCATATATTTAGTATGCATTAAGTTTGAAGTACTTAGCCTTAAAATATGATATCTATTTATATTATTATTATTAAACAAATTAAATATATTTCAGTGTATATAATATATATTTTTTTATTATTTCGGTACTAATTGTTGCACTAATTATTTCTGCAAAAAAAAACTAATAAATTTTTTAAATATGTTCCTATACCAATATTTAATCAGAAATAGTATCTATTACATACAAAAATAAACAGTATATTATATTAAAAAATTTAAAAAGCAGTTGTCATTTAAAATATAAATTATATAAATTAAAAGAATTTTTGTATCTTATGTATTCATATATTGTTAAAGAAAATTATACAAATTTTATAGATGGTAAGTAATTTATATAGGTACTCTATTTATAGAGTTCTTATATTTATAATATATACCTACCAATATTCAATTGATATGGTGTTTAAAGTTAAAATAGCTTTGTTGAAATCATGTACTTATAATGTTAAATTTAAATAATTAAAATAAAACTGTATGGAGGGCATGGGGGCAAAACTTCCTACCACAAGTATATTCAACTTAGAAACTGATTACAACCCTAACAATTTAGCCAAATTTATACCACTGTGTAAAACAAATAAATAAATATCTAAATAAATAAATATCTACGGTGAAAATAAAAATAACTAGGTAGGAAACGATCCATCATTTGTTATTTGAAATAAATAGAAGAATATTTTTTCCTTTCTTCCATACAATTACGCCGCTGGTATGTTCATACAAAACATTAGCTTAATAATTATTATGGATTAGGCTAGGTGTAATATATTTAATGACGATGTGAACCAATGTAATAAACGTATCTCAGTTATTATATATATTGAACATTAGCCATGTTGACCATTTGACATAATATTATAATGTTTATTAAGAACAATGGCATCTCAGAGGTGTAGGTTAAAAATCATCATTTAAAATATTACCTATAATAGTAATCTTTGTATAAAAACAATTACCGGCTTTGATGGTATTATTGGTAACCACTAAGGCAATATACCACTATAATTGCCACAGTCAATTGTGATGGACGGAAAACTGGCATATACTTATCATAATAATACCTATAGTGGATTATGACTTATAAGTATTCTAAACTTATATATAGTGCCCATGTTTTTACGCAGCAGCTCACAACACGACTACCTATGATAGATTATTGTAATTTTATTAATTTTGTGTAAATCTTTTTTTCATATATTTATATAAATATTATATTTTTAATTCATATACATATCATATTTACGTACCTTTATAAGTCTATAGGTACTTTTTTACATTATATATGTATCTACAATAATTTACTTTGACAAATTACCGAGTATTATATTTTTATTATAATATTTTAAGTTAACACTATAACTATTTTCAGAGTATGTATATCAAAATTTTTTGAGACATCTAGTTATTTTATAGTAAGTGTAAAATATTTATTTAATTTGTCTAAACCATTCAAAAGAATATAAATACTTACTTTATATTATATTAATTGTATGCACACAAGAAAAATCTGAAAAAAAACAATATCTGGCGTGTTTGATAATTTTTTCTTTATAGTATCCTAGCAATATTAATTATTGATTTCCAATTATTAGTCACTGAAGTTAAATTACAATTCGTTTATTAATCGCAAATATTTTGTTCTTGTTTATTATACAAATATTTTTCCTGAATTAGAAAATAATAAATAGCAATTTAATTCATCTAACTAATTCAGTTAAAGTCGTTTCAGTTTATACAATGGCTTCAAATGGAAAGTATCTTAATATAAGTAAGTATTATTTATAACTTTATGAAATATTATCAATAATATTCTATAATGATTAGCAGATTTAATCATTTATACTTCCAAGCTAATAAAATCAATTTAATTATTTATTTAACCTTATAATACATATAAATATTGCATATACTTTTATATAGGTAAGTTAAGATATAATTCATAAATATAAAACAAAATTTAAACTTTTAGTTTGAATCTTTTTAATTTAACGTTAAATAAACTTATTTTTAAAGTTAATACCAAAATTGTAACTATTTATATATTATATACCTTTACATATTATAGTTGTTGTATTCCTAAAAGTAATTTTATTCTAAAAAATGTCATTGTTAGGTTATTAAAATAAAAATTTAATTTACTATAAACCTTTATACCATACATCCTTTTATAATAAGTTATACTTGTAGGACGGTGATAACTCCTAATTTTTAATACTAGTAAATTTCCCAGGGTCAACACTATGTTTACTTGAAGGAAATACGTAAATTTTCGCGAGTAGTTTTAAATATACTGAGATAACAGTAATGGAGTTGGGAAATGGGAATGATTGAGTTTTATTTTTAAAATAGCTTTTATAGATCCAAATGAAGTTGAGAATGTATATGTATCCAGATAAGCTTCAATAATGCCTCTAAGCATAAGCGTGCGCAAGATTTTGTTGCACCAATTTCAATAACGCATACATTTTTAACCGGCTCCACAAAATCAGCCCATTTATTTCTATTATTATGGATATAAGAAATAAAATAAATAAAAAATAATAATATTTATACAATATAAATTAATATAATATATCACTATATACTTTTATCATAATATTGAACAAGGAGTTATAAAACTTACATAAAATAAAAACAAATAAATAATATTATCATTTCTTTCTTTGAATAACTATTTTATTCATTTAAATATAGATATTATATATATTAATATTATTATAATATACTATTTAGACACCATTGCTAGTTGTTACTAAGTTCAATAATAGATAATTTAAAATGCGTATTATATACACTATCGTCGATAATAAATACTACATAGGTAAAGTAAATTGCATAATATGCTTAGATACCTACTTATAGGTGTATAATCATAATATTTACAATCGTCGAAAAACAATATAAAAAATAAACAATAAATAGTGCATTGACGTGGATTATGGTTGGGGACATGGTTATAGATACTAGTATAGTAGTATTTAATACCCGGGGTCAGGAAGTATATACTATACACACTAATTATAATGATTATAGTTATAATTATTACATACACAACTACAAGCAAAGAATGAAAAATTGACTAAACACAACTCCTTAAATATTAAGGGTAAATTGGGTCCATGATAATTTGAGTACATTTTGAAAGCGGTAAATTGAGTCTCGGTTATAAAAAGGTAGTAGGCAAGTTAAATCACTTAAATCCCGGCAAAATCTCATACTATTAGTATGATAACCCGATTTAAATTTATTAAATCTTTTTCATTTAAGTTTTTACCAAGAACATGATATAAAAACCACATATATTTTAATTTATACCATATATTATATAATATTTATACCAGAATTATAAAATTTAACGTACTAAATTTTTTTCTTGGACTCAACTTACCTATTACCTTTTTTCCGAGACCCAATTTACTGAGATAAGATCATTTGGAACTCAATTTACCAATCTCGTTAAAATAACACGTTTGAATAGGCATAAGGTTATTGAATATTTTTATTTAAAATTTAAATTTTTTAAGTTATTTATGTTATCTAAGTTTTCAAATAAATATCAATTAGCCCACTAAATTTTCGGATGTAGCGAAAGCAGCACTCGCTACATTCGTGTGTACGCTTATGCCTCTAAATTAGATTAGGGTTGTGAGGAGAAATTGGAAACTTTTGTTTTGTATTTAGTTCAAATGTATATTGATGAAATTTCCATTATATTCTTTAATAATATGGTCTTCAGCATCATCAAAACAACTAATTCTTGTGAATCGTTTCATTCGCATTTCAATTTATATATTTTTTTAATACTCATCCATCTCGACCACCTTTGTTTATATTTATTAATGTTCTAAAGATTTTCAAATCGAAGTGTGTATTACAGTTACGATGAATAAAATAAAGTGAGTAAAAATTCTTATACCAAAAGAAAAAAAAAAAAAAGAAAAAAAATATAGACTTTAATGACCAAGCAATAGATACCTTAAGTTTAAGTTTTTTAAAGTCTGTATGTTCGTGTTAAAATTATAATATACAAACGAAGTTATTATAGACTCAGGAAAGTTTACTTTTATCCTTCAAGTAGTACCAAAGTAGACCTTTAAAGTTTACCACAGGGAAAGTTTATAATTCATTATAATCAGGAGAGTTACAATCACCCTATACGCGTACCTATATAATATATATATATCGTAATCTTAAATATAAAGGTGGTGCATTATACCTATTTCCTTATTTATTTTTTAGGCATTCAACCTCAAAAAATTCCACGGACTTCTAAACCTTTATTTGAAGTATGTATTATGCTATAGATTTTATTCTTTTATATACACACACATAATATATATATATATATATATATATATATATATTTATTTAAATAAAGTACAACGTTGCACGTGATATACCAAAGTTTTAATTTCAGAAAAAAGTTTTATGGGCGTCTTTGGTCTTAATGATTATTGTTTTAATACATTTAATATATAATGGTCTGTATATTACAGTTGCCTAAAGAAAATTTGAGTGAAACTGAACTCAATGCAAAATCTACTTCCGATAGAACCAAACGCCGTATTGCCCACAAGCCGCGGTTTCCTCTACCGAATATCACTAAGCCATTACCGCCAGTGCGAGGTATTGTTGCTCAGCCGAAATCAAAAATAAAGAATATGTATAAGAAGGAAGTATGTATATATAATTTTATAAATGATGTATCAATGTAAGACACACAATTTATTATATATATTTTATCTCAATATGTTTGTACACAATATTTTAGTACATATTTATTATTATTGATTATTATTATTTATTTATTATATTATTGACCCGATTAAGAATATTATTATTTCATTGTACATACCTATATAAGTTATATATATATTATACATTTTATAACATTATTATGTCATTTAACCAAACAGAACAATATTGTACATTGTACTTGAAACAATTGATTTTTTTTTTGAACAATAACATTAAAAAAAATACATTTATTACTCAGTTCAAAATCTAATATTAAGTTTCTAATATTTCTATAGTATGATGTTATAAACGTATTTCGTTTGTAATTAAATAACCAGGTTTTTCGCGTTTACCGATAAGTTTGTTGTATTACTTGTATTACTAAATAGTTTTATGTTTACTTTAATCCTCATTTCTTAGTATAAGATTAAACATATTAAATATTTTACTCTCTAAAACTAGCCTAAAAGTAATTTTTAAAATTTACCAGGTTAGGTAAATCTATTTTCAAATGATTTCACGTCAATACTTTTAAATTATAAGAAAATATAATAAAGCTATTATTTTGTTGCTAGCCAAACTATACGACATTGAGACACTGTCTCGTTTCACGATGCTCATATATAATATATAATATTATTATTGTTACTGATTTATTCTTATAAGACGTATAATATGGTCTGCTCTGACTTTAGTCTATTATTACATTTTTACATGTTTACCTGTAATAATGCAATACCTAACTAATAAATATCTAGTAACATTAACATAACTATAATAATTAATATTTGTTTAATTTGTAGGTAGGTATATAGATATAATAAAAACCATTAGTTACATATCTATAGTTTTGGATAAAAATAAAGCGTTCATTTTTCATTTTTAGAGTTTTTCACGTATACAGCCCTGCAAAGTAAGACAAATTAATGAAACATTTGGTTTGGATTCAAGGGCCACACATTGCAATTTGATAAGTACTGGTAAATAAGTATAAGTAACAATAATAATAATAATACATATTTAATTAAACATGAGATATCAATTATAAAAGAATAATGGGAAAAATCTTAAGTCATTCTATTGTGTAATAGATAGGTATACAGCTTTCAAGTATAGGTAGTAGGTAGGTACCAGTGTCGGATTACCCATTTGGCGGAGAAGGCGCTCGCTTAGGGGTCTCACTCCTTTAAGGTGCCCATGAAAATGAAAAATCCTATTTTATTTTATTTTATTTTATTTTATAAAAACTGTATTTTATTTACGAATTTAGGGACAAAAATCAATATGAAATATAAATATTAAGTTGTAGGTATTAAATTATGCAGTTTTAAAAGTAAAATTATTTCGTGGATTTTGTCGATGTGGTAAATACTAAATAGGTACCTAAGTAGTAAGTACTTGATAATATTGATCAATGATCATATTATATTATCTGGCGACGACGATAACGGTGATAAAAATAATTACATACCTAATCGTCATGCGTTACTATCTAGTATCTAATCGGTCAAGTGACCGATTTCCTAGTAATTATTATTTGTATAAATAAAAATAATAGACTTTAATAGTACTGGGTAACAAACTTTTTCGAAGTTGAAGTTGTTAAAAATTGTCATCGATTTTCAATAACCAAGAGCGTTTAAATTCACTTGCCATTATGACTACAGAAAATGACATTTTACAAAGACCAAATTTCAAAGATATTCTCAAAGAATTTACTACGAAAAAATTAAGAAAAGTTAATATTTTAAAATCAAATGTTTTTATAAGTAACAATTTATTTTAAGTTTTTTTTTTTTATAGTTTATTAAAAATCATTTAAAAAAATATATAAAAATAATATAATAATTAATTTTACTTGTAAATGAAAAAATTTAATAAATTTAATTTAATTTATTTATATTAATTGGTTTTTATTAAAGCCGTTTATAAGTATTGGGTTGTAAAGTTAAAAATATTTGTAAAAAATAACTTTGTAGGGGCCTAAAATTTTAATTGCTTAGAGGCTTACAGTTGTTTAATCTGACACTGGTAGGTCCTACCTTGTTATTAAATATGTTCACTAAGACACTCACAAATATTAGATGACTTTAAGCACTAAACTGATTTTAGAGAAAAGAGACCCATAAGTTAGTTCCTCATAATAATCCTAATTAACCATATCATCTCAGTTATATTTGAATATTATATATCTCTATTAATAAGTTAAAGTTATCAATTATTACATTTAAAAAACAAAAAAAAAATATATAAATAATAATAATATTTTTTAATAAATATAGGTTATAATTGTACTTTAAATATAATTACAACGTACCTAACATCACTTGTTTTCATCAAATTTATTTAAGAGTTTAAAAAACTGGTTTCAAGTAATATTCTGGATTTTCTATATTTTAGATTGAGAGCAGAGTGATGAATGTATTGATTTTACAACGATGTATTTTTTTTTTTTTTGGCCTTTGTACATGATAATTAAGTAGTTGATAAAATGCTTTAATTTTTAATTTTGAAAGATAGTTTTGGACAACAAATTAGATATACTTTAGAAAAATAAAATTAAAAACTTCCAGTACTTAATAATTGGAGGAAAAAAGTTTAAGAATTATAGGCTAAAACAATTTTTGACTAAATTGATTTCTTTATTTTATTATACCCTAAAATTTTCATCAAGTATTATTTTATTATTTTTTCTACATTGTATAGTTTTCAAAATATTTTGACCTTTATTGAACCATTAATAGACAATTAAAATTTTTAAAATTTTTTATAATGTCGACAAAATATTTATGAATAAAAATGCTTGAACATTGAATAAAAGGTTTGTAATAAATGGTTTTTTTCCCAATTAGAAAATGTCAAATATTTAGTTACAATTTTTTTTTTTTTGTATGATTTAAATTTATTAACATTTTAAAAGTAATTATGCTCCAATTAATATAGGTATCTATATAAGTATATGTTGGTACCTAAATAAGAATTTGAAATAATACATTTTGACACAAATTTGTTATTTGTATAATTTTTAAGTATTTTAAAAATCTTTTATATATGTTCTAGGATTCAACAACAGGATTAAAGATAACAAGAGAAAATCGGAAGATTTAGATTATGGCGTAGTTATAAAAAAAAAGCAAAAAAAAATTAATGACAAGTCTAAGAATAAAGGTGTAAAACAAGAAAAAAAATCACGTTAAGGTCAGGTTTATAGTTATATAACAATTTGTTCCAAAAATTCACTTTTAATTTCCCTACCTGTAAAAACAATTTTAAATTAGCACATTTATTAGATCCCTAAAGTGAAGTAATGTGAAGTTCTAAATTGATTTATTATGCAACTACTTGCAGAATATTGGAGTGAATATAACACTCAACTTCACTTTGTTATTTTTTAGATTTGGGTGGATGTTTTAAAAAAAAATTTGAATTATGTAAATATAGGTAAAACAAAATATTGTATTTTGTGGTTTTTAAAATATTTATGCAATTGTCAGTAAACAATATTTTAGAACAAATATTATCTAAAATAAAATTTATATTTTTTAGGTTTAGCTTAATGTGGACACAAAAAGAAATTAGTTGTTATATCAAAAACCATTAACCAGGCATTAATCACATCAAGACAATATTATTCCATTGTTTGTTTATATAAAAAAGATGTAAATTGTTAATTAAATTATTTATATGTTATATTTTTCTACATATTATTCTATTTTGTCATGTATTTATTCAATATAAAAATTTATTTAATTACCAGTGAGACTAAATTTAATTGTCAGTACTAAATATTATATTATATTAAAATAAATTTAAACATTTGTTTGAGGAGTTTTTGAATAGGAAATTACAGTGGCAAAAATAAAATTATACTTTAGTCTCTTTTTAATTCATTTTTATTGAGATAGTGTAAAAAAAAAAAATTATCAAGATTTTCATAGAAGAAATTTAAGAGTACAGATATACATCAATGCAAAATCAAATGATCAAGAGAACAAGACACATGTACTATATTACTAAATTATTTCATTGATAGATATCAGATTCAGGCCTTGATACAAGCCTGTAAAAACTCCCATGTACACATCAAATTTTTATTTTTTGAAAATCTTGTAACCTTCAATGTGAGATCAAAATACTTCAGTGATTAAATAAGTATAACATTTTTTAACTAGATAATAAATAACAATAAAACCATTAATTTAATATACCTAAATTTTCAAAAAACAATTGTTTTTAATTATTTTTTTAACATAAACCTTTCTGAAACTAAGTAATTAATATGAGATTTATTTTTCATAATGTTTGCTTTACAGTAATCCATCATATCTAATTCATCTTTCACTTCAGTGGTAAGTTTTTCTAATAACATAACCATTGGCTTAATTTTTTCTTCAGCTATTCTGTTATAATAATATTCAATAGTTAATAAAAATATAATTAATTTTAAAATTTACTATTTACCGCTGCTGTATATCAAGCTTTTCATTAGTTTTTTCAGTAAAATTCTTCCAGTAGTTCAATTCTCGATTCATTTGATCAATATTTTCTTGCATATTGTTGATAAGTTTACTCAATGGATTTGCAGATTTTGTTATGTCTTGAATGAATCGCCTGATTGTATCCATTTCTTTAGTTAACATCTCTTGATCTTTAGCACTTTTTCCTTCCCATTCCTAAAAATAAAAAAGTTAAGATCAATTTTTTGTTTTTTGTTTTTATGTACAAAAACCAATATAATTTAAACATTTTAACATACTATTTTTGAAGAGTCTGTCTTCTTTTTAATATTAAATTCTATTTGCGTTTGAAGAATTTGTGATACAAGATGACCTTGTCCATCTTCCTAAGTTATAAAATAAATTCAAGTATTCTTAGAAAATTAATTTACGATGACTATATAAATAGTTATGTTACCTGGGTGTAAGAATCATAAGTTGACTTATTGTCGTTTAGTACTTCAATTGTAACAATATTGTCATCAATGTCATTTATTCTGTCATTGTTTTTTGAAAAAAAATTGTCTGAATGTTTTGGAATTCTAAAACGTAACAAATGTAATTTAATAAAACAAAATATATTTAACTAATTTAAATGTTGTTATTTACTCTGCATAAGTATTTGATTGAGGACGACGATTTGGAGCTGGTGGTCTTGAACTTTTGGGTCTTAATGATTTACTAATATCATGCGTTTCACTTAATTTCCGAAGTGGATTCTCTTCAAGGTTAGTTTTTTCTATTGATTCAGAATCTTTTTTTTCTAGTTTAGATTTTAATGTTGATTGTAATTTATTTTCATTAAGTTCCCTAAAATATACATTAATATTTTAACAACTTTATAAATATAATGTAAATGTTTCTAAATTACTCAGTTTTTACAGAGCTATCCACAATACTCTTTACTTCTTCATCAACTGGTTTTACAGTAGATTCTCCATCAGATTTGGTTGTTATATCCATTTCTATATCGGGTTCATCGATTTTAACCATCGATGATTCCATACTGTCAGATTTTTGTATTTTTTTTTGGGAATCATGATTAATATTTTCTTTTAATTTCTTTTCTAATGATTTGGTTTTTTCTAACAATTTTGTCTTATTTTGATAACTAGTTTTTGTAGAGTCTAGTTTTTTAGTTTTTGTATTAGTTGAATTTTGTTCCTTAACTTCTTTATTCTAGATATAAAAGTATGTTAAAGTAAGTAATAATAGTTATTATAGTCATAATTATAAGCACAACTAGAAGAAAAGAACTAACAAGAAGATATTACCACTAAATGTTAAAGATTCTAGTTTCTGTATTTTTCACTGGTCAGTGATTAATAACCCAATATTTATAATAGCAGAATACCCAAAAATATATTATGTTTAACTGCACTTATAATTAATAAAAAAAATATATTTTACTTTTGTTTCAATTCCAAAAACAATTGCCATAAGCAACTCTAAAGTCTTTGTTGTTTCCAGTCCTGCAACAATTTTTGAGGGTCTTGCTGATATTGTTTTATTTGTTGTTGATTCTAAAAGTAAAGTATTGTTATTTAAATAAAATATTGTAATTAAAGAAGAAAGATATTGTATAAATATTAATTATTAATTCAATGTTAACATTTAAAATAAAAATAGAGTACTACCATTTTTTTAAACTCTTATTATTTTTTAACCTGGAGATATGTCCAGAACTCAGAAACATTTTTAAATTATAAAATAGTTTTTGATAATAATTATTATAAAATACGCAAATTTGATGAAATAAAATAAAATTAAAATTTTATTTTAATAACTTACGAATGGCAGTTATAAGTTTTTCTAAAAATTTGATCTTAGTTTCCTTTGTAGTAACATTTGTAGATATAATTTCTTCATCAGTAAAAACACCTGTTAAATAACCAGTTCTCTGGATCACCTAAAAAGTTAAAATAATTTATTAAGATTTTTTTAATACTTTAAATTTAATAATAATGAATATTACTTATTAAACTATTATATTATAAAACAACATACTATGTATTGTATATATAGTATTCATTTCCTTAACACTAAAAATTAATAATGAAAACAATAAGCATAAAATACAATTTGAAGCTTAAAAAATATATTTATAAAAAGAGAAGAACTGTTACTATTAAAATAAAAAGTGGTTGATAAATTTTATAAATTATGAATAATTTATAAATTAAATTTATGAAAAAATGCTAATTAGAATTTAGAAACTATTGATATTAAATAATTCATAACTAATAGGAAGCAAAAAAAATATTTTTTATAACAGACATTTGTTAAATTTAGTAGGTACATCAATGTTGTTAGTTATGCGTATTTTAATAATTAATACTTACATTTGTTATAATATCATGAAGAAATTTGAATGGCGGTTTATTTAGTAGTTTTTCAGTTAACTGTGGCTTACTTATATATTTAGATAGAGATAATTGTACTTGTTTAACAAGTTCTCTGTTCATAGGATCAGTCATATCTAATAAATACTAATATGTGTTTTTCTAAATAGCAGACCGCTCAATTTAAATACAAATATAAGAATTCAATATTAAAAACTTAAAAATAAAATCCTATAATTATTGTAATTGAAAACTTTTTAATACAATAAACTTAATTAATAAACATTAATTTGTATTAGCAGTTTATACTTTATAGATTTTATTATTATTATATTGATAAAATAATATCATATTTGAACATCTGATAAGGATATTTTAGTACACAGTTTTATTGATTAAACTGTTATGATTTATGAGTTATGACAAGGAGTGTGATAAAAGCATAAAAGTATAACCAAATTTATCAAAGTGGAGTAGGTTCTGGATATGAGATATGTTGTAGATATTTTATAAATTTATTAGTAAATAATAAATATTAAATCCACATTAATAGCTTATGAAATTCATATAATATTATAAATTATAATTATAAATAAAGATGTATAAAACGTGAATATTAAATAATAAGATACAGTAATTGTGTACTATTAAAATTGGTGCTAAGATTTAAAAATGATAAATAATTCTTAAAAAATGAATGACACTTTTATTGTCTTTCTTTTTTAAATTGCTTTAAAATTTCACTGAACATATCTCTAACTGATCTATGAGTTGAAACCAATGACTTCTTTCTGTCAATCTGACTTTTGTCTTGGTTATTCGTTTTACGAATAAATATTTGTACAGCTTTTTTTGATGTGACAATAGAATTTTTCATTTTTTTATTACATTCATCTTTAGTATTGTTTATTATTACAGTCTTGAAATGATTTATATTTTTAAAATCATTATTATTTTTTTTCTTTCTCTTACGTTTCTTCCTAGATTTTTTAGGCATTTCAGTTTGATCATTATTACTTTCTTGTTCTTTATTTAAATTATATTCATGTACACCAACTATCTTCTTATTTTGTTGGTTGATATTTTCAAAATTATTTATAATATTATTTTGGACTTTATAAGTTAATTCTTTAGATTGTTTATCAATTATTAATGGTTTATTTCTTTCTAGATTATCCATTAAATGATGTCTCTTTAATGCTTTGGAAAAATCCATTAATGAACATGGTTTATAATCCATATTAGATGGAATATAATCGTCAGTTAAATTTAATCGGTATTTAAAATATTCTTCATTGGTAATCAAGTTGCGATTAAGAGCATATGTTAAATGGTTAAGTCGTAGATGAATTGCATGAAGATCAATAATACCTTGATTATATATATTTTTCCAGTAATCAAAGCTTTTGCCCACAATACTATAAATGTAACAGAAAATTATACAAACATAATATTATACAAATATTTAATATATGTATAAAAAATATACCTATTAATGCAGGTATATATTATAGGTACATTATATAGATATATTATACATAATATGTATATTACCTTTCGCTATGACATAATTTGTTCATAGTGCTAATATTATAGTTGGTATACAATTATTACAGTTGGTTATAAATTTACAAGTAAAAAAAAATTTTAGCAATTTAAAACAGATTGCAGATAAATAATAGCTATTATATGTTGTAAATGAAAAAATATCGGTATTTAATATTTACATTTTTAAAATTAAAATCTTAATTCTTTAAAGAGACTGTAAATTGTAATAACGATTCAATAGTTTGTAACTATTTATTGTATTTAAAATATTATAATGGCGATGAGAACATTGAAATTGAAAACATAAGAAATGTGATAAGATCTGATTATAAAGATAATATAGTTTCTAAAACGGTCTTTATCATTTGATAACCCTTCTTTTTTTCTCTATTCTCTTTTTTTTAACAAAATTGGATTTTCCGCGTTATCTGTAGTGGTCATTTTTCGCTTGGAACTATTAGGTGTGACGATTTTTTAAATATTTTTTGCGGTATCGAGCTTGCTGCCATTTTCCACTTGTTTTTCGTAATTATTGCTTATTACTTTCACCATTTTGTGTGTTAGACTTATCGTGTTGAAACAAAAGGTGTTTGTGTGAACTATTCCGTTGTAATGGATTTGTTTTCGGCCGAAGTTAACGCTATTGTGCTTAATTGTCTTTGACTCAGTGCTTCAGATTGAAATCACTACCTACTCACTTGTTGTCATGAAGCTTTATTTTATGGGACAATTTTAAATTTCATCTTAAGGTATTACAAGAGATTCATTAAATATAAATTTGTTATGTTATTATTAGATTTAATGTTAACTGAATATCTATTTTACTGGTTGAATTATATAAAATAATACTTGTTGTGTGTAGCATGATACTTTTCTGACTGAATAATAATATTCTTATAAATAATTTTTAATTTATGTAGCTTGTTTAAAAATGATGATATTATTTTATCATGGAGTTTTATCATTTAACTTTAAATATTAATGAAATCAATACTTTTATTATTGATTTTTTTTTGCATTTAATTTATTTAGTGTATTATTGAAAAATTAAATTATACAATTTTTTTCTAATTTTTTTTTTAGTTGTTTTTATACAGGCACAGCAACTTTAATTCATAGACTCAATTGTTATTCTTCTAATACTTGCTTAAAGTTTATTATCTAACCAATTTTAGTAGGTAATTATTGACTTCCAAAGTTTTCATTTAATGTTGTTGTATTTATAATAATTTTAAAATTAAGAAACTATTTCCTTGAAAATAATACTTGTGTTAATAATATAGTATATATTGAACTTAATAATTTATGTTATAATCATAAAAATGTTTTAGAAGTATAAAGATAATGTTGTTTTTCAATGTTATATTTAATTTCTATTCAAAGAATGATTTTAAAGTATATGTTTACTGCCTGATGGCCACTGTATCTGCACAGTATTAGAATATAAAAGTATTTTTGCGAGTACTAATGGTACGGCCATTGTTATGATATATATATGCCATATGATAGCAGGCTGATATAATTTAATTTATTTATAAATGAGAATATTTAATTTAGTGGTGTTGAACTATATTGAGTAATTTTTTATGATAGTGTAGTGGAGAATTTTTGTTATACTTGATATATTAGTTGTCTTTAACAGATTTTGTTATATCTATACACTTAAAAATTGTTCAAGTATAATTATATGATAAATAAAAATATATGGAATTCATTTATGGATTGAAAATATAAATAGAAGGTGGTGATTCTCTTGGAAAAACAGCCATATGTGATGCGTTAATTACAACATTTTATTTAGTAGCTATATTATATTATGTATTGAAATTAAGTTGGCTATTGATTTATATTTTTTATAAATTATACATTTAAAGTATACCTAAAAGTTTATGTCTTTATACATGAACTTATTATAAATTATGAAATATCTTAATTGAATAAAATATTAATATTATTTTAGAATGTTATTTAATATAAATTCAAATCAATAAATTCAAAAACAACTAGTTTCAATGCTTAAATGTCGTCATTCGTTTTTAATTTGTAGCCAGCACTACACATTTCCTGCTTAACAAATACAATGACCTGTTAAATTAGGTTACATAATAGTCAAAACATATCTGTTGTTTTGTTACCATGTTAATATTATTATTTTAGCATTAGTTGTTTGACTAAGTCTATTAAGAACATTGTATATTTTTTGAAAATTGTATCTTATCAATGTGTCTATTAAATACAACACTGTATTATTTATGAAAAACAAAATTTGTAATTCTCAATAATTTAGTATCTAGATGCTTAATACTAAATCCTTATGTTTAAACTATAACTACAGGTGTTAAATGTTTCATACTTTATTGCATATTGATATACATTTAGAGTAAAATATTTATATTTAGTCCTTATGATCTAAAAATATTTATAATAATCAAAATTTTATGCAATCATCTAAATAACAACTGGACATAAATAAATTCAACTTAATTACCATAGCAGTAACTTTTAAGTTATGTTGTAAATTTTTGTCTTTTTTAGTAATCTATCAATTTCTGCTATAAAGTTTTTACTACTAACTTCACTGGTTGTGATCTGTACTCATACTTAAATATATTATTTAATTTTTTTATAATTTTTTTTCAGTGTTACTTTTTTATATATTAATAATACCTAAGTATCTAAATACCTAAAGTACCTAATAATATTTGAAATAAAAAAAAATAAAAAATGTACTTAGTTGGTATTATTAATTATAATTGTAGATTGTAATTAATTAGATTATTTTGACTTTGATTTGTATTGAGATTATTAATACATTTTTATGGCCAGTTTTTTTTTCTAAAAAATTGATAGTACAAGGTAAAATAAAATAATATACCATTTTTTTAAATTTTAATTGTTTTAAGAGAATATCATACGCTTAGATTGTGTTGTATTAACGCATATTATACCAACATTTAAGTTCAACACTTCTAATATTATATTGTTAGTTTGAATATTTGAGTGTAAATTATATTATTGTGTTCTTTTGTTGGATTTGTATTTATATTTTTAAGCAAGTCATGAGTACCTATGTATAATATTAGTATTTATAAATGTTCATAACTTGATTAAAAATTAAAATATTGTAAAACACTTATGAGACAATACAAAAATATTTCATTCTTTAAATTTGATGTTGAATAAATTCATTTGGATATTTAATCTAACAACAAAATTTGATCTGCTGAATTCAAATTTGGTATGTTGTCTATTTCTAATCAAATAAAAAACACGCAGGCATGACATCTCAGATGTTTTTGAAACAAAGCTAATTTGCTTATAAACATACAACTGAACACACGTATTAAATTGCTTAAGATTAAGAAGAAAATAGGTTTTTATTTTTTTAATCCATCCATTATTTATGTAAATTATTTACTAATTAAACTGATATTTACTGTGATATCACATTTTATTTTTATAAAATTCAGTAAACAATTAGGTACGTTTGTAAAAATTATAACTAATTTGTTAACCCAATTTTTTTTTAATTCGCTCAAAAATTGGATATTAAATTTAATTATCTTTATAAATTTATATATTTCATAACAACATTAAGTAAAATATTTATCTTTCAATAATAATTTTTTTTATATAACTATATTATTTTCAAGCATTAACTAATTTTTTTTTAAAAGAATTTTAAAATATTAATCCCAATAAAGTTATTTAATTTGTTTTATTGAAAGAAGAAAAATATTATTATTCAACATTAATTGAGGCATAATATGAGTTATTATTTAATTATTAATCAGTACCACTTATGTTTATAAATACTTATAAGCTTGATTAGTGTATTCATAATGTTTAAAAATAACAAGTAATAGTTTAAATTGTTATTATCTATTCATTTATTATATTAATTTAATTTGTATATCCGGCATATTATTATTTTAAATATAAATGTTTCCAATATTCTATGAATATTTACCAACATTTTTTTAATAAATTGTTTTGTTTCAAGTTTATCTTAACACAATAAAATATCTTTTGAAAATTAAAGATAACATTTTTGGTTGAATATATAATTATAGGTGTTAATTAGGTATTTAAAATTAGATTTACAGTTTTATATCATAAAATATGTTTTTTTAATAAGTACTTAGAATACTATAAGAGTATGTATTTGCATTAATATACAAGAGTAAATATACCAAATGAAAATTGCATTAAAAAAATATTGTTAGGTTTATTGCAATGGTAGTAAGATTTAGAAGATAGTTAAATTATAAATATAACTAAGAGCTTTTTAAGAAATATTTTTAGTAATAACATTAATTAAAAATAAATTAATGAAATAATATAATAAAATATATGCAGAGGTGGATTTATCTTTTTTAAGGCTATAGGCATCAAAAATTTGCCGCCCCTCTAATAGGTGAACAACTGAATAAGTTACCATAACCGTATACCATATACAATATAGGAAAATATAAAATATGAAATAAATACACACATTATTAATTATTTTTCATAAATATAAAGCAATTTTTTTTCTTTTTTTTTTTTTATAAGTTTGATGTTTTTTAATAAAACACTACAATATTTGCCGCCCTAGGCAGCTGCCTACAGTGCCTAATGGGAAATCCGCCTCTGAATATATGTAAAAAAAATGTTTCTTAGACTTTGTCAATATATGTTTATTCATTTAATATTTATGTTATTATATTATATTGTGCTAAGTTATTGAATTGCATTGGACAATGAACTTTATGTCATGTAAATGTTTTTTCTTTGATATTGTAGGTATAGGATAACCAGTATTTCTTAACACTTAATACAATATATTACAGCAATCGTTTGTAGACTATGGTCTATGACTTATACAAATATGAAATAATACATACCTAACAATAAAATATTAATACCCATAATATAAAATAATATATTTTAGTTATGTTAAGTTAACAAAACCAGAAAATTCTCACTGTTGTATAATCGGAAGTATACTTTTTGTGACTTATTTTTAAGAAGTTACTCTAAAAAGTGTGTTTTTTGAATTAAATTATAAATCATTGTATTAAAACAAATTTATCTTCTAGGGATATCTTATAATATATTTATATTACTATAAGTACTTTATTTTTTTATTATTTATATAGTTGTATTACTCTTTCAACATTTATGACCTAGAAACAAACCACATAATCAACATAAGTAAAAAAAAAG